GAGGAAAAAATAAGGATATAAGTATATAAGGATATTGATGTCTAATATTAATCTAATGAATATGGAATTAAAAAGAAAAACAGTGAAATAGGAGAATTACAGAATCTTCAGATTGAAAGGACTTGGTGTGTGCCTGTAATCCCAGCACTTGGGAGGCTGTAAATAGGAGGATCACCATGAGTCTCATCTAGTAGTGAGACCCTGAACACCCTGTAGACCCTTCCCTAAAAAAAAAAAAAAAAAAAAAAAAACGATTGAAAGGGCTTACCAAACACCAAACACAACTAATGAAAAAATAAACCTGAACACAGCCTAAAGAAATTTCAGAACTCTAAAATTATAAAGAGAACATTCTAAAGCTATCTAATAAAAAAATGATTTTACTAGAAAAAAAAATAGAGTAAGTCTACATCAAATTACCATCAATAAACTGTGTGTTAGATTACTAAAGAGAGGGGCTAGGGAGATGGCTCAGTGGAATAAGCACTTCCGAAAAAGTATCCTTAAATTGTAATATATGAGATTTTCTATTATCAGCAAAATTGCAGTGACAAAGGATTATATTTCCTTGTCTACGTATTACATAATTATTCTGCTTTATACCACAATATTTATATAACCATATTAAAGTGCTTTTTTATTTCTAAATTCTATAAGCAGTTATAAGACAAAATAGAATACATATATAATTTTTTGCAGGGGGATGGCTTAGGATGCCTTTAGGGCAGTCAAGGCTTGAGGATCTGGGGATCAAACCACAGCATCCTGAGCCTGACTGCTTTGTTTAAGCATTTAAACAACTAAGCTAATGGACAGGCTCCCATAAAGTATATTTTTGAAGCTACATTATGGCTTCAGAACAGAATATAAATTATATCAACTGATAATTATTTTTAATGTATCTGGTACAAAGTCTCACTAAGTAGCTCAGACTCTTAGTGATCCTCCAGTTTTTCAGCCTCCCAGGTGCTGGGATTATAAGCATGCACCGCTATGGCCAGGTCTTGTTGGCCAGCTCAGCACACTCCAGGGCCTTGGCTGGCGCGGCATGTGGTGCCAGGGATTGAACCCATGTCCCTGTGCTTGTCTAAGCAGGTGCATAGCCTGCTCAGCTATCTCACTGGCCCTGATAATAATTTTTAATATCATATGGTTAACAAATCTAGGGAAACAATGAACGCTAGTTTTTACTTTTCATTCTTATACATCCTTGAATGTTAATGTCTTTATAAGATATGTTTACCACTTCTACAATATTCTCAAACTACTTTAATAAGCAAAATTCTTCATTCTAGTTATCTGAGGTAATAATTATGTAAAGATTAAGGAACAATGAAGAACAGTAACAGGCCAGGTATAATGGAGCACACCTGAAATCCTAGCACTTGAGAGGCTAAGGCAGGAAGATTACCACAAGTTTGAGGCCAGCCTGGACTACATATTGAGTTCAAGAACAGCCTGAACTAAAAAGTGAGACTCACCATCAAAACCAAAACAACAAATAAGAACAAATAAAAGCATACCAACATGCACTTTCACATAACTAATACACAAATTATATCCAAATTTCGAATTTCTACAGGTTAAAAAACGCACTAAATCCCTGGGCACTCTCCCTCTTGGTCTCACTACAAGCCTTTACACAGGTCAAGGGCACGGTGGAGTGAAGTATTTGAAACAGAAAAGAGCTAGCGATGGGCCAAGAACTGCCAGATTCCAATGAAAACTTAGGAGCACTAAAGAAAAGCTAGAAAATAGTCAAAAGAATGGAAATGAAATACAAAAGACTTTTTTAAAAAGATAAAGTGCTGAAATAGAAAGCAAGCAAGGAAGATCCAAGGTACATATGGGTGAAGTGCTTAAAGAAGGTAAAACAATTCTACAAACTTGATACTTAAAACTGTAATATCTGGGAAAGAACAGTGGAGAGAAATAAAACACCTGAATATGCATATAGAAAGGGACTACTGGGTACTAAAGCAGAATGAACTGTTAATCACTATTCTAATACATCACAAGATATTGAAAAGTTTCTCATGGAAGAATAATGAGCAGTGATGCACTCAGTCAAGCCACGTAATAAAGCCTCTAAACCCCAAAGGACGAGATTCCGGGAGGTTCTGGAGAACTAACGACCACAGGGAGACCCCTGCGGGACAGTGTGCCTGGACAGCATGCGGAGGGTCCATCTCTTTCTCTAAGCAGCATCTGGCTGTTTCTAGGTAATATACTTTATAATAAATAGGTGAATATATGCAAAGTACTTCCTCAAGTCTGTGAGCCACTCTAGAAGGTTAATCAAATTTGAACGGGGGTATGGGAACCCCAAGTTTATAACTCATCAGTCAGAAGGAGAAGTGACAACCTAGTAGAGGCAATTGGCATCCGAATTAGGGGCCAGTCTCATGGAAGTGAACCTTAGTCTGTGACATCTGATGTTATCTCTATGTAGAGGGTACTGGAATTGAACTACAGCAGCACATCCAGCTGGTACCTGCTGCAGCATGGCGTGTTTAGTGTACAGGTTAAAACCCACGCATATATGAGGTGATGAAAGTATTCTATGTTGATTATTGACTGAGAGAGTAAGAAGAAAAAGCACTCTGATTTTTTCCTCATCCTTAGGGTTTTACACACACACACACACACACACACACACACACATTTACATTCCCAAACAAATTCATCATCACTACCTCCAGTAGTCCTACAGCTATGGAAAGGGCCACCCCTGAGGAACGCAAAGGTCTCTTTCCCTGGGGTACAGGCCAAGGATCTCGCTGAAGTTCTCCCAGAAGATCTGTGAGATTCATGTCTATTTTCTGTACTGGCTGTAGGAATCTGAAAACAAAAAGTCATTTGTAAATGTGTGTGAGGCTTTAACAAACAACTAAACAGGCTTTAACAAACAAACTAAAACAACTTTGAAGACACAGCAAACTAATGGCTTTCTAAGCCAAACTGCGGCACTTGCATATGCCTCACAATCAGTTGGGATGTTTATTTTAAAATGGCCCTCTCAGTCCAGTTTCTGAAGTTCATTTCAGCAGGTCTGGATGCGACCAAGAGCCTCCATTTCGATCTAGCCCACAGGTAATGCTGATGCTACACATTCGGGAACCACACTTTGACACAGCCTTCAACAAGACACACAAACCAAATACTACTTCAGCTTTACCTTTTATCTACCTATCTACTAAGGTTTAAAGTTACTGAAATAATTATGAGAAAACTAGCTCTAACTAGAAAGTTTAGAAGAAAAAGCTAATTCTAAGATTGAGATGACAAAATGAAGAGCTTTCGGGCCCTATTATTCTTTCACCAACTTGAAACCACAACATTTAAGTTTTTATGCACTCGAGCACAGAAAATCAAGGATATATCCAAACTAAACTTGTGGTGCCAGGGAGATGGCTCAGTAGAATAAGTGCTTCCTTGGCAAGTGCAAGAGCCTCAGTTCAATCCCTGGTACCACCAAAAAAAAAAAAAAAACTAAACTCATATCGCAATGATGAAAAGCAAACCATTTCAGTGACACAATACTGCCTTAACTCCTTTTTAAAAAGCATACCAGTACAATACAACTATATTCCAAAAAAGATTTAATAATATACTATTACTAAATGCCCAGGTTCAAGTTAAGGGCACACAATGCTTAAAGTACTATGTAAATCATCAAATTCTGTTTGCTATAATGGACTATTACCTGTTAGAAGGGGGTGGCTGCTGTACCTGAGGACCGCGTGTTGCTTGAGTAACTGGCACTTTAGAAAGCCCCAGCATTTCCTGAAAAGAGATTATTTGCATGATATTCAATTATTTCTACAAAGATTTACCATGTGCAGTGCTGTTATTAAGTAGGGAAACAAAAATAAAGAACACAAGGTCTTTCTCTTCAGAAACCAAACAGTTCAGCCAGGGAGACTTTCAGAAAATAATGCAGTGAAAATAACTGACATGAGAGATCAAATTGCAAGGTGTTAAGTGAGCAAAAATGAAAGGTACTAACTCAGAATATTTTAGTTGTCTAGTTGTCTAGTTGTTCCTTAAAAACATAAGCTATTGGAGCCGGGGAGATGGCTCAGTGGAATAAGTGCTTCCCTGGCAAGCGCAAGGGACTGAGTTCAATCCCCGGTTCCGCAAAAA